CCTGTGCACACTTAAACACTCCCCTCTCACACTGAACTAATGAAGCAGATGGAAGCACTGTTGCCTGCCTAAAGGAATACACCATAATCACAGGGTTTACCAACATCTCCCCTCCTCCCGCTGAGCACTTTCTCGCCCTTTTTCTCCCTCACCATCTCTCATACATCACCCAGTTGCCTGGTTAACGCTGACATGTTAAGTGCACACCTCCTTGTCTCATCCGTCCTTTTTAAGCCATGCCATGCGGAATACTGTTGGCTGGAAAGCACAATCTAAAGGCCCATTCACAGCAAGGAGGATATTATGCGAGATCAGGGAAATGCAAACCTAGTTTGCACAGAATAATAATAATAATAAATAATAATAATAATAATTATTATTATCATTATAATTATTATTACTATTAGTATGATTAGTATTATTATTAGTATTATTATTATTATTATTGGTTTGCATGGAGAAGGAAACACTATCATAAGAGTCACTTTCATTTTTTTTTCTGCATGATGATGATTATTTTAAATATTTTCATCCATTCAGAATCTATCCAAATGTAAAAGGACTGAATTTTTAATTTGTGGTTCATTATTTAACTTTTTTACTTTTAATAAAGTGCGCTTCCTGGCCAAATTATGATTTATATCAAACATTGGGAAAAATCTGCATAAGCTTGCATGCGAGTTTGCATCCTTGAATTTGCAATTATGTGACAGAAATAATAATGTGGCAGTAATGTTGTGAATATTGTTCAGTTGAACACTGATCATTTCACTTTACCCAGATCCTAGATGCGCTAAATTAACACTGAATTTCCATTTAGAGGTGATCTATGACTTAATAAGATGTGTGTACGGCTGACGATCAACATGGTTCTCGCTTGAAGAGTAAAATCATATTTGTTATTCACTAGGGCTATTCACTGATTTGTCATCGTGTTCACATGCTCAACAGTGTCCGTGTATCTGTGGTTTCGTTCAGTAAACAGCCAATCGCAGTCATTTCTGTTAAGCAAGGGAACGCGATGGCAAATCAGCAGTGCTTAAGAGCCTGTTAAACAGCCCTCTTTTCGCGCAAATGTTAGCGAAAATGTGCGTTTTTAACATTTCACAACCGATTGGTACCAAATTCTGTTGGGCAATATTGACCAATTTGGCATCTTTCAATGTCTAATGTGAAACATCACGATGGACGATGGACGACTCAACATCGAGAAGTTTGTCGGCCATCGGCGATAACCGATGGCATCGTCTATCGGCCCAACCCTAATACTAAATTCCAGTATTGTGACAACATTAACTATTAACATTGCTTATTTTGTGAGCTCAAGTTCATTTTTTAGAATAAAATAAAGACAGGTAGCAAGGGTGCACACATATAGAGAGAAAGCAGCCTGAGTCGCACTTTTCAAATGACTGTTGCACCCAATAGACTAGCTCCACCCTTTGATAAAAAAGTAGTACGGTACGGTATTTTGGTACCTTGTCAGTAAAAACAGACATAAATGCGTACTAGGGCTGTGCGATTATTCGAAATCAGATCGCAGTTTGAAACGTTGCGATTAATTAAATCGCAAGAGGTTGTAACAAGAAATATAGGTATTTTTAAATTTGCCCTGCCCAAAGCAAATGCATGACTGCTGTCTGTGTGTGAGTCTTACTAGCCAATTGAGTGAGCACACTTTCGTTCTGCCAAATCAGAATTGCGCAATCAAACTATGCAGAATGCCCACAATAAAAAGAAAACAAACAGGAAAGCGTGGACAAGTGAGATGATGGCATGTGCTGCTTCAAATATGGTAATATGGTAATGTTTTGGTTTTAACCTCACAGACACAGAAGAAAAACGGGTCATTTTTAAGAGTTGTCGCAGAATTAGTGCCATGGCTTGCAGATTATTGAGCTGAAGTTTGACTACAAAATTAAATCACAAATCAAATTGCAACCTACCGCTCAGTAGAAATGGGCCACAATAGAGTATGTGCAGTGTATAAACCACCATTTTAGTCTTTCATTTTGAAATTTCATGTTGAAATGAATGTCTTGCAGTCTCTTAATTAACTGTCGGTTTTTTAAGCAAAGTTCAAGTGAAACTAGACCAATATTTTTCAGTGTATTCGCCGCTCTTATTGCATACTCATTACATTTAAAGCAGAAAGGCTTGACAAGAAAAGGCTTTTATGTTTATATACTTAAGCAACGTCTCTGGGGATGCTGAATAACATCATAAAACCAGCTTTGCTTGTGCCAATTATCAAACTTCTTTTTAAGACGGGAAGAAAGCATAAAAGTATTCCGCAGAGATTTTAATTTGTTTATTCTGGATTCTAATAACAGATAGAGAAACTTCTTTTCACTGTGTATTTTAATACAATTTTACAATGCAATTAACAGCAATACATTACATTGAAGCTGCAATATCCTAAAAAGCATTGTAAGTAGTGACAGTGGCTGAACATTTAACGGTCTAGTTAAGCTCAACAAAAGCCCCGAAAAAGCAACTCATTCCTGGTGAATACAGTAAGAAGCCCAGAGCTACATATACTCTTCTCCTTTAGGAGCCAAACAGTTTAACCAGCTCCATCATGAGACACTCTTATTACCCAATTAAGCACATCAGAGCAACAATGAATCCTTAGAGAGGAAAAAGTCATCACTCATTGGATGACTTTAGAAATGTGCCCGAGGCATTAGCTACAATAGCTTAAAAGCACAGCGGTGAATACTGTCATTAATTTGTTTAGCTGACCAAGCAAATAGAACCTGAAAAATGATATCATTTCGGTTACTGAATATCCTAGCATTGTCAGAGGTTAACTACAGTTTTAATTAGGGTCAATATATTCATTTTTCTCCACATTTTCTTATTTAATGGCAGTATAATTGAATTTACAGTCAGATTTTTGAGCTGGTAACTAATAATATGAGTAAACCTAAAATATGGTGTAAAACATGTACAAAACTCAATTAATATGTAGGATGGACTCATTATTGTTTATTAAATGGTTTAGCTTATTGTGCTATCATCCCAAGCTAACATTGCTTTTAGGGCATACAATATTCATACACGATTATAATAAAAAATAATCAAAGTAGGTAGGTATTTTCTGTTTGAAAATGAAACACATCTAGCTTTATCTCTCTAATCATGTGTAAGACACGGAAAAGACACAAAAATCCATTCCCTGTTTTCCATCTCGCCGCAGGTTCTAAGCACTAAACGACGGAGAAAGCCGAAAATGGCCGAAAAAAGCCGATCTCAGTAAAAGACTGCTGGGCGCTGTCCACCACTGAAACCGCCTGAAATCCTCCGATGCACCATTTCAAATCAAGTCTGCTAATTGCATGCGGTTTCCCATCCCAAAAGGCTTTACAAAAAACGCAGTTATATAAAACCATAACCAGACCGTATATAATCAGACATTTTCCAAGGGCTATACCTTTCCGATTCGACAAAGGCAGTGCTCGTACACACACTTGCGAATGGAGGCGTTTCTTCAACGAAAGCTTTGCATTGAGCAATAAACTGCGCTTGACATACTTGCATCACTCCATTCTAACGCCTATAATTACTGTAATCTTTAAAACACAGAAAGTCCAGATGGGCACAGCAACCATGTAAAACAGATTAGTGCACAGCGAATATAACCTGAGGAGCTCGCTTTAATTCGACGTGCAATTCAAATGAGCATATGACATCCGAACCACAAGGTAGATGAACAGATCGTTTTAGTGAAGCGTAAAGAGAAGGTCGGTGCATAAAAATAGCCGTGAGGAAGTTAAGCTGGTTGGGTGTCAAAGCTTCTTCATTCACCATGAGCATCATCAGCCCAACGCTGACTACAAACGCATATGAAGGCCTGTTCATGTTGCACCAACGCCATACACACACACACACGCACACGGCCGACAGCATTATCTCCAGGCACCATTTGCCATATAAGCTCTGCCTTCACCATTCAGCCAACAGAAGGTTCTTAACACCGTATTAACTGCATAGTAGAAACCGGCTGATAGTGGCGTGTGGCTGTATATGCACACACATATAAAGTCGTTCGTTCTATTTAACTAAATGCATTTTAAAAGGAAGCACCATTACAGGTGATAGAATATGCAAATATATTTTGCTTATTTGTTATTAATCGTTTTGCTTCATAACATGTACTGTGCATATTTTAATTAGCCTATAGGATTATTTACTGTGCAGTTACGTGTGAGCAAAAAAAAACTGATGCTGCCACTGTTAAAATGCTATTCCTTCATTCAAACGCCTCAGTACTTCACCATTAAGGCGACGCCATTTATAAATACAGCCAATAGCCTACTGGAGAACCGATAACCATTGGAAAAGTGATTATGCTGGGAAAAAGCATTGAAGTCAAACCAGTTACTGGTTTTAACTCCATACAATTCAGGTAAGTGACATTTCTGAAATGATACTGCGTTGTATTTAAATCTGAGGTTCTGACATTTGATGCTAGAGCTGCCAATAAATATAGATTAGATCTCTTTAGTCTGTACTCGTTTGTCATAGTAGCAACTGAACAGGAAGACACCAGACACGTAAAAGCCCACAGGATGAAGTGAAATCGGGGTGGAGTGTAGTACTGTTCCTCTGCCGGGTGTGAAGTAGGCTACATTGGCAGTGGACGCCAATGAGGCAATAGGAAACACGGTTCCCCCGGTTGACTTTCAGCACCATAATCGTGAACAGCACACCGACGGTGCCTTATCTTCCCGAACCCACACACATACACACACTGCGGATCTGCTCCTGCATATCATCACGTCACGGCTAAGATGTATTTAACACACTAGTGGAAGGAGAACTCCTTGAAAATATGGCGGACCTAAGAATTCGCCATCAAGCAAATAGAGGGTGTGTGTGTGGGTGGGTGGGTTCGTGTGTGTATTTCTCTCTCTCTCACACACACACACACACACACACACACACACACAGAGCGCACACTGACTGATGGATGTCATTTAAAACAAGCCACTTACTTCATCTGTTTCACGATGGTACTTTTCCCAGATTCCCCAGCCCCTGTGGAGAAGAGACAGACACAAGGGAATAAGATCGCCTGTCACAATGAAGAGATCCCATATATGTGCATTCATCAGATGAGGTGTTGGGTATACAGCTAGAAATGACGGGCTCCTCTCCGCATTACCTAGCAGAAGCAATTTCACATCTTTAGCAGCAGTGATTCCGTCTTCTTTGAGGTTCTTCTCGATGGCTTTGCTCCTGTCCAGAGCCGCTCTTTCCTCTGCGCTCAGTGTACATCCCATGGCTAGATGAACCTCGGCTCTTTTTTATCTCCAAAACGGTCCGGCTGAGAAATATCCTCGGTGTTTCTTCCTTATCCCTCTCTAAGGCTGTCCCTATCCCTCTCTCACACACACACTCGCTCTCCCTGTCGGCGACTAGCTAGAGCATTAAATCCCGCAAAAGACAGCGTTGGACTGGAACATAAGTCTCTGGGGCGCGCTCTCGGTCTGTGTAACGGGGTCGTGGTGCTCGGTCCTCGGGCTGAGAGGTCTCTACTGGGCGGCGGCGGCGACTGCGAGCGCTGGCATCGTTAGCGTGCTGACAATGGAGGGTCAGTATGGAGAGAGCGCGCGCTGTGCTCGACGCGCTCAGACAATCTCGCTGACGTCAGGAGCAGCTCGACGGGGAGAGAGAGACAGGGAGCGCGCGCGCACGAGCGAGCATTCGGATCGCGCACCGTTAACTACAGCTAGATTTATGCCGTTATCTGCAGGCGGAAGAAATGCGCTACTCTTGGAGCTTGGCGCTATGAAAACGCTGCTAAACGCCGTGTGTGCCGGACTGTATGTAATAGGTGTTTGGCGTGTGCGTGAGGCGGATGATTTAAAGCCTATGAACGAGCGGGCCTTGGACACAGGAAGAATCACAGAAAGGTGTGGCCATTAACCTAGCGTTGACAACCTGTAACAGCAACGCCAAGTGTTACTGGTGATAGCCTCTGCTGTGGGACAAAATCTAGTGTCTAAAATTATTATTTAGATATTTAAAATCAAAACTGATTACAAATATGGTTTATATATATATATATATATATATATATATATATATATATACCCACACACACACCCTCTATTTGCTTGATGGCGAATTCTTAGGTCCGCCATATTTTTGAATATATATATATATATATATATATATATATATATATATATATATATATATATATATATATATATATATATATATATATTCAAAAATGTATAAATGTATAAGTAAATAAACAAGCACAGGTGTGTGTGTGTGTATGTGTGTGTGTGTGTGTGTGTGTGTGCGTGTTTGTGTACACACACACACACACACACACACACACTCACCGGTCACTTTATTAGGTACACCTGTCCAATTGCTCGTTAACACAAATTTCTAATCAGCCAATCACATGGAAGCAACTCAATGCATTTAGGCTTGGTCAAGCCAATCTGCTGCAGTTCAAACCGAGCATCAGAATGGGGAAGAAATGTGGTTTAAGTGGCTTTGAACGTGACATGGTTGTTGGTGCCAGAAAGGCTGGTCTGAGTATTTCTGAAACTGCTAATCTACTGGGATTTTCATGCATTACCATCTCTAGGATTTACAGAGAAAGAGAAAAAGAGAAAATATCCAGTGAGTGACAGTTCTGTTAGGGCAAATGTCTTGTTGACGCCAGAGGTCAGAGGAGAATGTCCAGACTGGTTAGAGCTGATAGATAGGCAACAGTAACTTAATTAACTACTCGTTACAACTGAGGTATGCAGAAGAGCATCTCTGAACACACAACACATCCAACCTTGAGTTGGGCGAGCTACAGCAGCAAAAGACCACACCGGGTGCCACTCCTGTCAGCTAAGAACAGGAAACTGAGGCTGCACAGTTTTACCAAAATGGGACAATAGAAGATTGGAAAAACATAGTCTGGTCTGATGAGTCTCGATTTTTGTGGCAACATTCGGATAGTAGGGTCAGAATTTGGCATCAGCAACTGGAAAGCATGGATCCATCCTGCCTTGTATCAATGGTTCAGCTGCTGATGGTGATGTAATGGTGAGGGGGATATTTTCTTGGCACACTCTGGGCCTATTAGTACCAACTGAGCATTGTGTCAATGCCACAGCCTACCTGAGTATTGTTGCTGACCATGTCCATTCCTTTATGACCACAGTGTACACATCTACTGATGGCTACTTCCAGCAGGATAATACGCCATGTCATAAAGCGTGGATCATCTCAGAATGATTTCTTGAACATGACAATGAGTTCACTGTACTCAAATGGCCTCCACAGTCACCAGATCTCAATCCAATAGAACACCTTTGGGATGTGTTGGAACGGGAGATTAGCATCATGGATGTGCAGCCAACAAATCTGCAGCAACTGCGTGATGCTATCATGTCAATATGGACCAAAATCTGTGAGGAATATCACTAGTACCTTGTTGTATCTATACCACAATGGATTAAGGCAGTTCTGAGGGCAAAAGAGGGTCCAACCAGGTACTAGTAAGGTGTACCTAATAAAGTGGCCTGTGTGTGTGTGTGTGTGTGTGTGCGTGCGCGCGCGCGCGCGCACACACACACACACACACACACACACAAACACATTCTAACATTCTGAAAAAAAAGTCATTTGCTGAAACATCTGTGGCAATGGTACTGGTTTCTCCATCTCTCCAGTTTTTTTTATTCTGACTATTGCTTTCTAAAACTTGGTTCATAGAGATCTCTGCATCACAAATGCATGACTGTATTCCAGCTGAGCAACCAAGCAAGTTACTACATCAGCTGGTTATGTAATGCAAATGTCAAAATGTCAAAACATTGCAGGTGTTTTACTGAATATTCCTGTTATTATAACTAGAAAAGGCAGTGAGTTGCACAATATCTATACTATCAAGCAAAAATGTTATTTCATTTTCAGATTGTGTTTTACTTACTTAATGATAATATAATATCTTAGTATAATATTTTTAACTATTAAAACATTTGAAAATAATGTTTAAACAATACAGGTTTACAAAATGTTTTAAGAATGTCCACTTGCAACCACATTGTGAGACATGGGAGAAAGCAAATAGAAAACAAGAGGATTTATACTTTACCAGTTGGAATCCACACAGGAAGAAAGGGAACATAAAATAAGGAATTGATTGATTTCTGACATTGGAAAACCAGTCAAACCAGCCTTTTGGATCCTCCTGCTAAAAAGCAATACACACTATGCTGATAGAAATATTGATTAGAGAAATTAGAAAAGTAATATATTTTTCTATTAAATACAGCTTTAGTTTTTTGGTTAACCTTTAGCTATTGTAAAGCAGTGTCTTTTTTCTGAACTCAAACACCTGCATTTGATCTTTTTTACTTTTGACATCTCATAGTATTTCTTGGATTCTGAAATCCATAGCAATAAATCTCTCTCTCTCTTTGTTCTTTTGGAAGCCATTTTTTGTCATTGTCTGCCACTTTCTTTTCCTAGACTGTGATCACTGAGCCTTTATATGTGCTGAAGATTCGTCTCTGACTGTTTCATATGGTTAGGGACACTTGTGTTTCAGTTTAATAAAGTAGTAAGCCTCAAAACATGTGGTTTAGAACAAGACAAAGTTCATTTAAAACAGCTAAAGTTTTTTTTTTAAGGATGACATGGAGCTAAAACATAAAACCCCTTAGCTGTTGTAAATTTGCTGTAAACAATAGATATATTAAAGTCCCCATGAGATGAAAAATCTTGCCTTAACGTTATCCATAAAGTGGTAAGTTCAAAACCAATGGCAGTTTTAGCATTTACAAGATGCATTCAAAATGTACAGTTTTTACGAGCACCAATATAGATTAAAGAATTTAATGATCACTCTGTACTTTAGCTTTTCATCAAATTTTCTGTACTGTAAAATGCAAAGGAATGCAAAGTAAATGTTGTGCTGTGTCACTTATCAGTACAACTAGATAAAGAAAGATTCTGGGGGAAAAAATCCTATTAATTTTTTTTACAATATTCCTTCTGCAATTCGTTAGCATTATATGCATACACATCAGTGTTTCTTCCACATGAGATGAATTTCTTTGATGGGAAGAGAGCTTAGTATGTAAGGTGTATGAATCAGACCTAATGTAGGTAGTGGATCTATTAAACTTTATTAAATTTATATTAAACTGCAAATTTTTTTGATGTACATAATACTGGAAACAGCTGTGGTGAAGTTACACTAAAGTAAAGAGGTCATAGTTTTATGTTTGAAGAGGAATTTAATGTTTTATAACTGGATATAAAAGTTTTTCTATTTTTTTCTTCTTCACTAAACTGCTTTAGAAACCCGAAATGTTTCATTTATTCACTCATTTTCTTTTGGCTTAGTCCCTTATTCAACAGGGATCACTAGAGCAGAATGAACCGTCAACTATTCCGGCATATGCATACTCTACGTCCAATTTACTTAATCCAATTCATCTTTAGCGCATGTCTTTGGACTGTGGGGGAAACCAGAGCATGCAAACACAGAGAGAACGTGCAAACTTCCACAGCAATGCCAACTGGTCCTGGTGGGACATAAACCAGCGACCATCTTGCTGTTAGGTGACAGTCCTAAACACTGAGCCATAGTGTCACCACCCAAAGTATTATTCATATATATTCTAAACAGTTCTCATATTATTAACGAGCAATATAACACGAGAACCAGTATGATATGGCTGGATATCGGCACTGGTGGGAGGCGTGCGTTGGCTCGAGGCCGCAGGCCGAGTGCCTTAGTGCTCCCCACCAGGGCTGATATATAGCCATATCACACTGCTATGAGTGTGATATTGTGTTTATACAACAGTTCGATGGCATAATCGTGTATATAAAAAGAAAGTCAAACACAGAGAATCTAAAAATCATTTTGCATGAGGAACTACTTTCTTCTGCCAGTTATTCACATCTGCAGCTGACCGTCAGAAAAAAAGAAAACGTTGCCAGTTCACAAATGTTACTTTAGAGCTAGTATTTGAACAATTCTCTAGCATTATGTCTACAGCAGGGGAGCCCATTTGTTTTCCTATGAAGGGCCAAAAGCCCAACTTCATTGAGGGGGTGGGCCGAAGGTTAATTCACCAACCTAGTAGATTAAAGCTGCTATGGTAATTTCCTAATATACTGATATTGAAAATATATATTTAAAAAGAAATCAATCATATTAATAATTATACAGTTTTTAAAATTTTATAATGAACATTTTACAATAAAAACATAAAAACATTTATAACACAATGGCGTTCACTGCCTTTGCCTATATTTGCTTGTTGAGGTCATCTGTCCTCTAACTCCGACTGACAGTATTTACATTTAAAAAAATTATACATGCAAAAAATTTAATTGAGGGCGAAGCAGTGACGCAGTAGGTAGTGCTGTCACCTCACAGCAAGAAGACAGCTGGGTCGCTGGTTAGAGCCTTGGTTCAGTTGCCGTTTCTGTGTGGAGTTGGTATGTTCACCCTGAGTTTGCGTGGGTTTCCTCTGGGTGCTCCGGTTTCCCCCACAGTCCAAAGACATGCGGTACAGGTGAATTGGGTAGGCTAAATTGTCCGTAGTGTATGAGTGTATGTGTGTGTGGATGTTTCCCAGAGATGGGTTGCAGCTGG